TTAATTTTTTAATTTAATTAGTTATTAGTTCATTTAAATCTTTTAATTTCAATTATTCAAAAAAAATTAAATTAATTAATTTTGATATTTAATTAATTTATAATCTCTGTTGGATGATATTTGATTAAATAAAAATTGATACTTAGTGAACGACTTGCACAATACAAAGACTCACCCCTTGAATCCTTGGTCGCTCAAGGTATACATTAAGATCTTCACTTTATTCAATAGAAACTTAATTAAGAGCAATATGCCATTTAATTAAATAGCCACACTATGGAGGACCACTGTTTCAAGTGTCATCCCAGGTCCAAACCCAACCAGCACGCCCCATTCAAGTCCTTCTCCTGTAGTTTTCAGCGCATTTTCAGCTGACTTCTTCCTCATCTCATCCAAGACAAACAGCACAGACGCACTCCACATGTTGCCATATTGAGCCAAAATATGTCTCGAAGCTCGGAGCTTTCCAGGCTTAAGACCCAACTTCACCTCCACTTGGTCCAATATAGCTCGACCACCTGGGTGCAGAATCCAGAAAATGGAATTCCAATCTATGATGTCTAAAGGCTGGAATGCCTCCACTAGACACCTCTCAATATTGTTGGAGACTATCTTAGGAATATTCTTGTCAAGGTGGAATATAAGCCCAGCTTCTTGCATACGACCGGTGAGAGCTCCATTACTCTCTGGCAAGATACTTTGGGATGCTGATACCAATTGAAACAAGGGCTTCTCAATTTCAGGTATTGGGTCCGAACCAATAACAACTGCGGCCGCACCATCACCGAATAAGGCCTGACCAACAAGGTTATCCAGACAAGATTCACTAGGTCCATGAAATGAGGCAACGTCACTAAACTCTAACCAGACCGCCAGGACACGAGCTCCCTTGTTGTTCTCTGCTATATCTTTGGCCAAGCGAAGTATAGTGCCACCAGCATGGCATCCTACTTGACAGATCATGACATGTTTAACAGATGGGTGGAGACCTAATAGATTGATAAGCTCATAGTCAGCTCCAGGCATTTCTACTCTACCGAAACTTGTGTAGAGTACAAGGTGGGTGATTTTGGACTTGGACTGGCCCCATTCGGTGATGGCTTTGACAGATGCTTCTTTGCCCAACTTTGGTACCTCCACTCGCAAAATATCCTGCCTAGCACTTAGGGAAGGTTCCATATAGGAACAGATATTAGGGTTCTCATTGAATATATCTTCCGTTAAGTGCATGTAACGCTTCTCGATGTTGGATCTTTCACCTGAAATTCGAAACAAGCATCATATATAAACGTGGAAACAAAATTGATCTAAGAGACATGGCATTGGCAAATTAAGCTTGACAGTTGATATGGACAATCCGGCCCTATATTTCATCTTGTATAAGGAAACAAGGAAATTGTCCTATTTTCCATGCATATGCAAATATGTTAAAATCAATTGATGGAAGTTAGCTAAGAATTCAGAAAAAGGAAAGGAAAGATATATACAAATACGCCGAAATTTTTCCTTGAGCTCTGTCATGTGCTCGCTATTAGTGATGCGGAAGTAGCTGTCTACGTAGGTGCTTTGGAGGACGCAGTTGGGAGGGGTGGCGGTGCCAATGGCCAAGACCGTGGCAGGGCCCTTGGCACGTTGAGCCTCGCGAACTTCATCAACAGTCACCATTATTTTTTCCTAGAAAGAGCAAGCAGCTACTGGCAGTGACACAGGTAAAATATTGTTGGATATAAGTGGACTTAGGAGGATTTTACAGAGGAAGAGAGGAAGGTTTTAAGACAATGTTTCTCTGAATTGGCTTGATTGAAAATGAGAACTTACATAGGTATTTATAGGTAAAATTCAATGTGTTTGGGTCCGGTCCAGTGGTTGACCCGTTTTGGTCACCGGTCCGGTTGAATTGGTTGAATTAATTCACCCAACCAATTCAACCGGTCAACTAAGAAACACCTTTTTTTTCTTTTTAACATATTTATTAGATTTTAGGGAAACAAATGCCTGCTGCTGTTGCTTGGTTCGATGGATGAAGGAGAGGAAGGTGCTGCTACTTTGTTTGATGGATGAAGGAAAGGAAGGTGTAGCTACTTTGTTCAGTGAAAGAGAAGTTGCTCTATTCAGTGAAGGAGAAGCTGCTGTTGTTTGGTAGAGGAAGGCAAGGAAGATGAGCTGCGAAGGGCTGGAAGGGGCTGTTGACGGTGGTAGTTGAGAGCAGATGCAGATCTGTTCTGCTATTGCTACAGATCTGTTCTGCTATTGTTGCTCTATTCGGTGAAGAAGAAGCTACTGCTATTCGGTGGAGGAAGGCAAGGAAGATGAGCTGCAAAGGGCTGTCGATGGTGGTGGTTGAGAGTAGGGAGCTTGGTGAAGGAAGGAGGATCTATTTTGTTTTGGTGTTTCTTGAATTTTTTTTCTTTTTTTTATTTTATTTTTTGCAGTATTTTTAGACTGCCAAGTATTTTTTTTTTTTTCAGTTTTGACCTTCTATTAGGCTTTTTTTAATCTATTATTAATTGAAGTTTACGTGTTTTTTATATAATAATATTAAAAAAGGTGGGATAAAATGGATATATTATCTTGAAAATGAAAAAAATGGGATAATTGAAGGGATGAGTTGCAGCCCGACGGGTTTAATGAGTGGAACGGGCCAAACGAGTGGAGCAAGTCAATCGGGTTGGAACGGGCCAAATGCTAAAACGGGTTGAGAGGTGTATTCGGTCTGTTTTCAAGCTCGGATCCGGTTGAACTTATTCAACCGACCAAGCCAACCCAAGTTTTAAAACAGTAAGATAAATTATAAACACTGATTCTTCCACCGAAATTAACTCTTATACATGAATCTCATTCTCCTAAATACATTATTAAAGATTATTCCTACCAAATACATGAACTGATTGTCAAAGGCATGTTTATCCTTTCAACAAATATAAAATAATGCAATTTAGAAACAAACGAACTTAATTAATTAGGTAATGAAGTTTAGAATAATAATTTATTTGCTTCAGAGGAAAAAAAAAAAAAGAAATTACTAACTAAAGTTGAAGGACACAAATATAATTAACACAGAATTTTTAAACACTTGATTCGCTGGTGTTTGGAGACCAATTCATCAATTTGTACTCGATTTGGAGTTTGAGCTCAATAAAAGATTACGAGAATATTTAATAATAAATGAAGGATTTATTTATCTCAAGATAAGAAGTAATTATTAACTAATAATTATTATTTTTTATCTTAAAAGTGATAAAGTTGATTTTTTTTAATTGTAAATGTTATGTGTTCAATTTTTATTGGTTTATTTTAAATTAAAAATAGAAATTATTTTTAATTTAAAATTTCACATTTTTTACTAAAAAAATACCACAGTTATTACTCAATTGTTACTCCTTACAATACAGGATAGATAAATCCCTAAATAAACTATGGGAAATGATACATATACCCTGCAAAATTACACACACTACAAGAAATGAGATTTTTAGTGACAAAAAATTATGACGAATGTTAAAATCAATATTATAACTCATTACATTTATAACAGAATTTAAAAATTAGTCACAAATACAAGTATATTCAATAATAATAAAAAATTCATCATTAAAAAGATATTTCATCATTAAAAAGATATTTCATCACTGAAAAATGATCACAAATAAAAAATAAATTTGTAACAATAAAAATCATCACTATAACTCATTCCAATTAAGATAAATTTCAAATATTAATCATATATACTGTATACATTCAATAATAACCAAATAATTCATCACTAAAAATTGTCACAAAAAGAATACATACTTGTGATGATAAAAATCATCACTATAATTCAGTCTTATTTAAGTTTTCTCTAATCAATGCATCCCATATTGGTAAAAAAAAATAAGAAATTAAGGTTTTATACTATAGATATATCCCACATTGATAAAAAATATTTAAAAAGATAAGTTTTTCACTATAAAGTAATAAAACATGTGAAGCTCAATAAAACTTGATCTTAATTTGGGTCTGATTAATTTTAATCGGATTTGATTAGTTTTAATCAAAATTGATTAGTGTTGAAATAATAATATTTTTTTATTAAACTTTTGTGATAAATTTATATATCAATTTGTTTGTGACAGAAATTTTTGTTGCAATATTTGTGTTGTAATTATATAAATATCTTTTTGATTTAATATCAATTTTAATAATTAATGACTAAATTTTTCATTATAGTTGCATTTGTGACTTTTTCTTTTTTGTCACTCAAGTTTAACATTTGTAATGAAAATTATTGTAACAAAAAAAAATTTTTTGTGATGACTAAATTGGTTACAAATAACTCATTAATAGTGTAGATTTTTTTCATCACTATAAAATTCTTTTTTGTGATAGGTATCAAATTCGTCACTAAGAGCATTAGTGATAAGAGTTTTTACTAAAGATTTAAATTTCATCACTAATTTTAATTTGTGATGGAAAATACAAGTTTAGTGACTAAATATGGATTTTCTTGTAGTGACACTTCATTATACATTGATAGTTTTCATTACTTAATCCATTACACACATTCCTTGTAACTCTCCAAATGCACCAACCCTTTCTTTCTCTCTCTCCTTTCCTCTCTCCCTCTCATTGTTCTGGCCAGATAGTACATTTAAACACCAAATCAGAATCTTGAGTCTCCAAAATCTTAAGGAAGGGTTCATTGATCTACATTCTAAATGGTTAGTTTTTTGTTTGGAGCTTTGTAGATTCTAATTTTGTGCCCATAATAGTAACTCATTTTTGGTGATATGTTTTTTGTAGTTTTGGTATTGTGTGTAGTTTTGCCATTTTGTTCGATTTGTAAAAGTTTACCATTTAATTCAACTAAAATTTTATCTAGGTGTTCAAGAGACATTGATCCATATTGTGAACTATTATTTTTTTGTTTGGAACTTTATAGGTTCCAATTTTGTGCCTAGAATAGTAGTTTGTCTTTTGTGAACTGTCAGTGTATAACAAATTAAGTAACAGAAATCGTCAATATGTAACGAAGTGTGTAACTTTTGCAGGGTATATAAATCAGTGTCCATAAATTGTATTGAAAGAGAGATATTGCAAACTAATTGAGTTTGTTTTCTGCATACTAGGCTTAACTACTACCACCTTAAACTCAATCCTTAAGTCATTCCCCAAATATGTACACTCGAAAAGGCTCCCACTAAGTTTTCTCTTACTCGATGACCAAAAAAAAATCTCTTACTTGGTTTTTTTTTTTCTTTTTATTCTGTTCGCCTAGCTAGCTCAACCGATACATTAAATATTGAAACTCGATAGGTTATATAGGGCTCCAAGCCAACTCCCAACTAACCTTTAAAGTGGAGGATGAACTAGCTAATTCAAAGATATACCTACCTATGTTTATTAAAACATGCACCTCACATATAGTCGTTGGAATCAACATTCTATTTCCATATGTGCAAAGTTTGCACACATCATTTATCAGCAGTGGTTATGATTAGGATGTGCATAGTTCAGTTTTAATTACAACTAAGGAAAATGGTTGGTACATATTCAATTCAATACATTTTCTAACGCACATTTGGTTCAACCATTAAAAATATAATATAAATATAATTGATTAAGTAGGTTCTTACATCATGTGTGCATGGTTATATCTTTAAATTTATATGCCTTTAATTTCAGACCAACAAATAGTGATTTTTTTAATGAGTGTGTTGTGCAGTATGTTGAATCGAATATGTAACATTCACTATCCTACAATAGTAAAGCATGGTCCCTATTTATAGGTGGTTGAAAAGGTATAGTTGGAAATTTTGGAGAATTATGTGTCTTTTGCATGGTATGCTTCTTGAATGCAACGATTACTGTCTGTCTCATGAAAACTACTTTTGACCAAAATTGTGCCTTTGGAAAATCACTATTTTGAGCTATCTATATATACACACACATAGCTACAAATGCAATAGTATATTTGTATATAGTTTTAAATTTTGTGTTTTATTGGGTTGATTGGGTGCCCCTTAACCTTTGAAGCATTGTTCAATTAGGTCCTCAACTTTTCAATTATTTAAATTGGGTCATGCTTCATTTGTTTCATTGATTTGAACTTATATTATTTCACATAAATGTGCAACTGCATGATGTTCAAGGATCACCTAGTCATTTGGCTAACTTTATTAATTGATATTAATTGTAAACTCAATGCAATAATCATGGTATTTTAGAAAGTAAACCACTTATTATATAACAGATTACTATTTTTCAATTTGGACTTGTTGACGACCACTTGAGATTTCAAAATGATGAAAAATTATTTATTATTAAAAAGTGAAAAAAATTATAAAAAAAAAGGGAGTTGTCACTTATCCAAATTATAAGGTAGGACAAGTCACCAAAAACGAGTCTGCGCAGGGATCGGGGTTTGGGGGTTCGATTAGGAGTGAAGAAGGACATACGTGCACCTCACAATCCTCCGTTTAAACACGGTTGCATATTTTAACATTGAGGGGTTTTAATTCAACTTATTTATTATCTTTATGTTTAAGTCGTAATAAGGAAACTTAAAAAAGGATGAACCAAATTAAAATTTTTAAAAAATTTTTGGACTAAAAGGGAAAAAATAAAAAAAAATGTATGCACAATAAGCACAAATAAAAATTAAATGGACTGATTTGATTAAAATAAAAATAGAGAACTGATTTGAAAAGGTTTGAAACTTGTGGACTAAAGTGCTTGAACATGAAAGTTTTGCGTGAAATTGAAATAAAAGAGATAACTTTTGATTTTTTTTTTTAAACAAGATTAAGGCAAATAGAAGATTAAAAATTAATTAATTAAGATAATTAATTTAATTAAATGATTAATTTAATAT